TATGTCAACCACACCTCTATAAAGCTGTTAAAAACACTGTTGAATTATTATTACTTAATGGCTCTATTTCCATCAATGTTAAGTATGTATATTCAATATAAATCCTCCAAATCATCTATCATCAGGGAATTACCTCGGATTTGTTTCCTGGGGTGAAATTACCAAAACCAGATTACAATGATTTGTTGGCAGCTATTAAAGACAATTGTGCTGCCATGAATTTGCAAATGACTCCATTCTTTTCTGAGAAGATTCTTCAGATATATGAAATGATGATTGTGCGTCATGGTTTTATGATTGTTGGAGAACCATTTGGAGGAAAAACCAGTGCGTATCGCGTCTTAGCTGGAGCACTAAATGATATATGTGAAAAGGCAAGTATGTTATTAATGCATTAATTTATTTATAATCAGCTTTGTGCAAGATAGAATGTACTGTCATTTTGAAAGATACTTTCAATGTGGCAACTTAAAATCCTGAGAAAAATGAGTCAAAGAGAAAATAAAATCAGAAAAGTAAAATTAAGCAAATAAGAAGTTCAGCATATAAAGTATATGCCATAAAAAGAATTTGCCTTTTGAGCTTTTCTTTCTTATTTGTTTAAATTTTAAAGGTAATGTTTGCAAACACAGAAAAATCTGCAAGTTTTCCTTTAATAGTTTAGGAGAGTATTTTTTATTTTCTGGGTAGTTAGATTTCTAATGTAAACTTTTGTTATTAGCTTCTAATGGTATTGAATTGGAATGTGTGTGTGTAAATATGTGCATACATATATAATGATATTATTCAAAATTCTTATATACAACACATTTTGGTCTACTTTGATATGTTAAAGGGATGGGGCTGTTTTAAATTCTCCAACTAATATTGCATTTCTGTTTACCTCTTCTTATATTTTGAATAGTTTTTACTTCACATATTTCAATGTTTGTAGCCTATACAGGATTTGTGATCATTATATCTTCATTGTGGAGTCTCCCATTAAAATTATTTACTTATTCTGTTATTTGCCTTGGATCTACTTTGTCTAATTTCAATATTGCCACCCCTACTTCCTCCCTGCATATATATATCTGCCCCTGTCTTTAACTGTGTCCATGAATGATTTACCTTTTATAGAAAATAAATAGTTTGACTTTTATTTTCTCTAGGTCAATGGTCTTTATCCTTTCTAAGGGGAATTTAAATTCATTTATATTTATAATATTATCATATAAACTAATATGCTACATATTTCTGTGATCTATTTCTCCTGCTTTTATATTTCCCATGCTATTTTCTTTCTTTCCTTCCCTTCCCTTTTTTCTTCTATTTTTTCACCCTTTCTACTT